AAAAAAAAAAAAAAAAGCAGCACATAGTACCTGACGCATAATAAAATATTCCATCAATGTGGTCACTATTGCCAGCAACCAGGTTAATAACAACGAGTTAAAAGTCCTTAAAAGCCTGCGTGGCAGCAGTGAAAACAGAGTGGAAAGAAGAGCCATGAACAAAGAATCTACCTTAAAATGTTCAGTCAGAAGAGCAAGCAAAAGGGTCTATTTTTCTTTTTTTTACCTTGTATGTTTGAGATAGCTCACAATTGGATTTGTTTAAATTAAAACAACTATAATCTAGCCACTCTAGGCAGATTTGATGCTGAAAACGAGTCTAGCATGACTGGACTACAGCCACAAGCTCTATAACCACTGCAAGCTTCTCTAGGTCTTTTAGTCTCTGAGCTAAAATTTCTTTCATCACTGCAGCCGACACTTCTTTACTGATTCCCACAATCCCCTGTTGTGTCTAACTGTAAGGACAACCCCCAAGAACCTTGGTTGGGGAAATAGGTTTGCGGTTTCATTCTACCCAACCCTGTACTACTTTTCTTATTCTTCTTCCTGCTCACCTCCTTTACTTCTCAAGCCTTGCTATTCTCTACACGTAGGAACTTGAAACCTAAGAGTATGGGAAAGCAACAGAGCAATAGCAGTGGTGCCAAGAACTGGGGATGCTGCCAAGCTGTTCCCCAGGCCCCATATGCATTGACCCAACTACATGCAGATTGGACTTAACTGCCTATGGGGCTTTGTACACTTGATATTCCTTTTTGCTTCTGCTCATTTTCTTCCTCCCACTTAAAGCAACCTCCTCCCAAGCTTGTGACTCATTCAAATCCAATCCATCTTTGAAGACACAGGTGAGGTCCGACTTCTTCAGGGAAGCCTCCCCTGACCACTTTAGTCCAAAGATATCCCACCACCCCCACATACAGAAAACAGGAACTGTACTTACTGTCTGGACCATAAGGCATAATCACATACACATTGATACAATTAAATGTTTCATGTGTATACATCTGACTTTCCAAGGGTATGACCAGTGTCTCACATAACTTTAAACCCTTACACTCAGTGCGTTAATACTTGTTGAACAGTGACTGAATCAGTGGGTTTTTGTTTATGTGTTTAGACTAAGGCAGGAGAAAGAAGATGCATGTTGAAATGAAAAAGGCTGAATAGACAGATGGGTTAAAAAACAACAGTGGGTGAAGATAGAAACAATGTAGAAGGTGTTCAGTGCACACCTGCTTAAGTGATTTGCTGTGAGGCTGGAAAGAGATACAGGGGAGAGATGTCAACAGGAAAAAGTAGGGTAAAGGCATTTCAGCTTGAGGCAGAAAACAGCAGGAGAAAGGTGAGGCTACAAAAGAAATTCTGCCTAGATTCTGCTCAAACCTAGACGTAGGCCAATTGGATAAGGGAAGCTAAAGCGAGGTACTGGGATGATATGAGTAGAGATATGGCCATGTAGGTGAGTGAATCCGTAGGGGGTGGCATGAAGGGGGAGGTAAATGGTAGAGGATAGTTAGGCAGGTAGGTTAGCTGCTGGGCGGGTGGGTGGGTAGATGGGAAGCAGGGTAGCGGGTAAGTGGGTAGGTGGTTAGGTGTTTAGTTGGGAGGGAATAGGTGTGGGGCGTGTTATTTAAGATCCGGCCCCTCCCTCACCTTGACCCGGAAGCGGATGAGTGCTAGCCTCACGCAGTGGCTCAGGCAGGCCGGTGGCAGGAACCAGGCCCGCGGTGGAGGGGTGCCCTTGTTGCCCACGTGTCCCACGATCAGTTGCGCTGTCTGCCGCTCGGCCTGGCACCGACGGCCCCACTCAGCCAGCCGGTCCTTGCCCAGGCCCCCGGGGAACATGACCACGAGCTCCAGGCCGTCGCCGCCAGGATAGGCACAAGCCTGGCACAGCGCTGACAAGTAGCCCAGCATGGCGTTCCATTGGCCGCCACACACCCAATCCGTCTGGTAGCCGCCGTAAAGCCGCGGCAGCGCCGAGCCGGCGTCCACCAGCACCCGGGCCCCGGGCAGCGGAGGGGGCGGCGGCGGCAGCGGAGGGTGAAGCCCTGGCTGCGCCTGGCCGTGATGGTGGAAGTGGTGAGCGGGGTGCTGGTGCCGAGTTGGCCCCGCGCCCCCGGAGTAGGCACCCAAGGCAGGCGGGAGCGGCGGTTGCAGAGGCGCAGAGCCCCTGGCGGCGCGTGGAGCCCCGGGTGCCAGGGCTGCCGTCGGTGGCAGCTGGCGGTGCAGGTGCTGCTGCTGCTGCTGCTGGCGCGAGACCGTGCGCGCGAGTTTGAGGAGGTCCACGGGCACCACGGCCCCGGGACAGCGCTTCTCCAGGAACTCTTGGAAGCCCTGGACACCCATGCTTCGTCGGTGGGCAGATGAGATAGCAGCTGCGCGAGCAGGCTAGGCGAAGATCTGGGCGCGAAGCTGGGGGCGGGCGCGTGCGCACTCCGCGGGGGGCGAAGGGGGGACGGGAAAAGGATTCCCGAGGGGAGGGGTGAGGAAGCGAGGGAATGAGGGCGGGGAGGGGAGGAAACCACAAATTGGATTTGGGTGCAGAGAAGGGGAAAGGCAGACTGGACTCGGGAGAGGCTGGGAGGATAAAAGCTAGTCACTTCTCTCTTTTCTCCTCTCCGGCCGCTCTTCCTCCAGCTTCAGAAGGGGTGAAGCCTCTTTCTTCCACCTCCGGGAGCCATGTTGCGTCGTCTTCTCGGTGGTACACGCTTTCTAGCTGGAGGAAGGGGAGCGAGGAGGGGCGGAGCGGGGAGAGGGGCATCCTGGTAGTTGTAGTCTTCTCTATGGCTTTGGGAGGTAGTCGAGGAACCAGGCTACCACCCTTCTCAGCCCTTGCGCTCACAGGGTCACAGGAGGCGAGGCGTGATCCATCAGTGTTTAGGATTTGCACTCCAACTCGTTGCATCTTACTGAGTTGCTTAGGTTATTTACTGCTTTTTCCAGGAAGAAGAGGTTTGGGGAAAGGATTGATGCATCATGGGAATGGAAGTTAGAGTGGATTGACTGAATTAAGCTAAAGTGAGCTAAAACTCCCCGGGAGGGAGGGTTTTCCCCTTAGTGGAAAAGATACTATTTAAAAAGCTGTGGCTCCCAATTAACAATGATAGAACTGGGCTGGGCGCGGTGGCTCACGCTTGTTATCCCAGCACTTTGGGAGGCCGAGGTGGGTGGATCACGAGGTCAGGAGTTCGAGACCAGCCTAGCCAATATGGTAAAACCCCGTCTCTACTAAAAATACAAAAATTAGCTGGGCGTAGTGGCGCATGCCTGTAGTCCCAGCTACTCAGGAGGCTGAGGCAGGAGAATCGCTTGCAATCGGAGATTGTAGTGAGCCGAAATCGGGCCACTGCACTCCAGTCTGGCAACAGAGCAAGACTCCATCTC